AACTATCTATAATGCATTCACTCGTAGCAGTTTAGAATATGCCTCAGTGATATGGAATCCTTCTTATAAAATTAACATTTGCAGAATCTAAAGTATTCAAAAACCTTTACTCGATTCATCGTATATAAAGTTCACAACTGTCCATACTATACCGATTACTAGGATTTCTCGTTTTGGAATATTAGTAATTTTTATGAATCTAAAAGCCTCACTGGCTGACCGACGAAAACTTAGACTTAATAACGCTACATAAACTTCTACACGATAAGTCAACCCATTAGAGCCAGAGTTTTCGAAACTATTGTTTTTTATTTATTTATATTTGTGTTGAATAACGTCTAAGTAAAACCATTAGACCAAAAGAAAAAATTACAGATCCCCAATTTTGAGTTTTAGACTGTTGCCGTGTGGCAATGCTAGGTCAAAAGAAGTACAAAAAATCAGTTTTCTACTGTTTTATATGAATAAGAGACAGAGACGATTATGTGTTTTATTTATTTATTTGGATAAATCTATATAAACTGAAAATTAAAAAACGTTAAAATTTTATTTACAATGATAATTTTCAAAACATTAAAGACAAACCTACATTACATTTTGAACACATGACTCTCCCAATAGTTGTACAGTCTGCTCCAGCACATCTACGTTTTTTTTCTACTGATTTTGGATAGTGATTTACACTGTCATATCTTAATCCTTCTAAAACTCTTGTTTATTTAAGTATTTTTGGGCTAACTTACGACAGAAATTGAGCTGCGATATGTCTTTTCCTGATTTGCGTATCAGTATACAGGCGTTATTTATGGTAACATCTACAAGCCACGTAAAAATAGTCCACCACCATTTTTTGCCTTGAATCCCAAACCTATAATTGTTAACATGAGCATCTATGAGGTTTGCACCACCCATATAGTGATTGCAAAATTCTATAAGATGTGGTCTCGGTACTTTTATCTTCTGTTGGTTTGCTTTGCAATATCAATTTGCCTATTCTCCTGGAGTTACTCTGATCTGTAGAAGCAACGGCAACAAAATTATCCATTCGTCGGGCTATAACAATATCACCTTGAGAGGCATTCTCGTATGACCCTCTCGCTCTTTTTTCTTGACTGTAACCTTAACAATTGGGCATTCTTTTTGCAATCTGTTTTGCCGAAGTGTGCCTGTTCCTCCGTGACCAATATTTTGCAAATGAATCAAAATTGTAAAATTAGTAAAAAGGTTATCAAAATAAAATTGAAGTTTCTGTTTTCTCATGACTTCTAGTAACTCACTAATCATAGAAAGCATGGATGCTGTTGCATTTCCAAAATTTTGCTAATTTTCAATATTGATAGCACCTGGGATAGCATCTTGATACACTTCAAAATTTGTCAGATAAACACTATTATCATTCGAACACCAACATTTATATCCAAACCGGATAGGTTTGTTACGAATACGTTGCTTGCATCCATGTTTTCAGTGTATATGCTGTCATCATAGTTAAGAGTTTATTCAATGGGAATTTGGTCAAGAAATTTTTGTTTTAGTTTATTCAACAGATGTTGCAATTTCATTTTGTAGTTTTTATCACGTTTGCTATTGTCAGCATATAAATCTACCGCGCCTCATAGCATTATAAACTAATGTATTTCGCATGACATCACCACTACACATCCATTACACACCACTCTACTGGGATAGAACCTTTTACTGTGTAATTTGTTATATCCAGACAAAATCAACACAAGCTCTCCAGTGGAAATACTAGGGTCTGGACAATTCAAAAATAGTGCATCTAGTATTTTGTTCTACAAAAAATTTCCACGAGTTTGAATCAAAAAATAGTTCAAATATATTGGTGCATGACATATCTTTATAATAATGTGACAGTGAGGTAAAACGCGGGTGAAGGAAGATCAGACTTTTTCCATTTGTGAGTTTCTTTACGTCTCTACTTGAAGATGACCCTGAATCATTTGCACATTCGTGGGCTTCGTCTTCATTTATACTTTGTAAAACTATATCTGCACCGGTTAGAAATTGTCTACCTATAAATTTTGTACATTCTTCTAATCGTCAGTATACTCAAAGTTATTTGTGTTTTTTGTTATTGTTTTGTTTTGTTTCGGTTCACGCAGATTTCCGTACAATGATTTTTTATGACTCGATGTCATTTAGGTCAACAAGAAAGTTATTATAGACTTCGATTGGCCTTTCACGATGAAGCCTTATCTCGTGCCACAGTTTACAACTGGTTTAATGAGTTTAAACGTGGTCGCACTAATCTCACCGATGATCTGCGTGAGGGATGGCCTTCTACGGCGACGATTGAAGATAACATCAGTGTATCAGCGGCGTATCTTAGAGACTGACAAAAGAGTGCCTTATCAGCAGATTCGGACAAGCTTAGGCATCTGTATGAGTCAAATGCACAAAATTCTCCATGAACATTTAGTGTTCAGGAAGCTTTGTGCTCGATGGATACCTTATAATTTGACAGAGGCCCAAAAACTCCGTCATGTTCATTGGTGTCGTGAAATGTTTCAAAGATTTAACGGAGGTGACTCAAATGCTGTGTTCGACATACTTACGGGTGACGAAAGCTGGATTTTTTGTTATGATCCTGAAACTAAGAGACAGTCTTCTGTCTGAATGTTTCCTTCCGAGGAGTTGTGAACTAAAGTGCAGAGAAATCGAAGCGTGGGAAAATAGATTAGAGGACCGCAAAACAGTTATGCAGAGTGGTACACTAACAATTGTTTGAGACTTTCTTGGAAAAAGTTCGGGAAAAACGACCTCGCAGTAGGATCCTCCTTCACCACGACAACGCCTCGTCGCACACCGCCAAGCAAACAATCGACTACTTGGCGACGTCAGACGTAGTTACTGGGTCACACAACCTGTAGCCCTGACCTAGCACCTTGCGATTTTTATTTATTTCCAAAAATAAAAGAAAAACTTCGAGGAAATCGTTTTATGGACATTATTTGGAAAAGATATAATAAAACTGATAACTTGCTAGTTTGTTCAGTTTTTGATTTTCTAAGAACTTTCAGTGTCACCCTCGTAATATATTTTCGGTCTTATTATAGGTTTAAGTTATGTCTAATATTATTATGTAAGAAAACAAGAAACAAACTTCACCGAATAAAAATAAATGGGACTGGGGTCGACATTATACGAAATTTATGACATCTAAAAAATAAAATCACAGCAATCATCAAACTTGAAACACCACTGACGACTGTCTTTTATCAAAGGCTTGTATATTTCGTTACAAGTTAACAATAACAAACAATCTTTGAGGTTCATAGTTTATGATATATGATCCGTAAAGTTGGTAATTGACCCACGTTGCCATATGGCAACACTAGGCTCTAATGGGTTCATTTCGCCTAGTTTGCCTATTGCATATTGCAACAAGTGTGCTTTAAAATCCCCTATCATATCCCTAGACACCCCATTACGAATTTATTTAATATTCCCTTTAGTAGAATCAATTTTGGAAACTTTTCCCTGTTAAGCAGATGTATGCGAACTTACAACAGCTTAAACCTTCATGATATCGATATCTTTAGCGACCTCAAACGTGTATTTAAAAGAAAATGTAAAGACCTACTATTACCACAGTATAATAAAGACGTACAGTAGGACGCTTATGATCTTTTGGTTAATGCCGACAACGCATGGAGGCTAGGGTTGTCACAAATCAACAACTTTTACTAATTTAATTATTTATTTTAGATCTACTTCGTCATCAACAGTCGTTGGTTGGTAAAAGTAACGTTGGTATAGCTGTTTTCTTGAAATGCAAACTGCAAATGTATGTATTCTTTAGACTTTCGAAAGTTCTTCCGACTAAATCAGGTGATTTACAAGTGAACTGCAGACTTCCCGGAACGTTGATGCTTCACATCAGCTATGTGTTCTTTTATGCGCGTTCTAATTGATCTCTTACCCGCATAAAAGAACACATAGTTGATGTGAAGCATTAACGTTCCGGGAAGTTTGCAGTTTGCGATCATATCCTAGATGGTGGGCCCAACATTACATCAGAGTTGATAGACCACAAATCCTCGCGAAAGAACATCGATTCCTACCAAGGATCATACGGTGTGAGGCTATAAATTAAAAAACGTCGTAATTTCAATAGAGAAGGAGGCTGGGTACTACCACCTGCTTGGCATCCTATAATTAATAAAATTAAAACTAAACCCAAGCATACCACTGCAAGACTTCAAAACACAGTTAGTTCATTCTGCGTAGATCGGACCAAAGCCAATAATTAAAAAGCTGAAGGTACTCCGGGTTAACTTTGACATCGGGACGTCAGTCACCTCAGTCCCCCGTGACCATATTAAAAATAAAATAAATAAAACGCGATAAAATCCGTAAAAGTAGTTTTAATCAATCTATAGTGTTCGCGTAAATATAAGAAATCATGGTGTTGTGTGCATAAATACGCGTTATATAATAGGTTAAGACGGGGTCTGAGCATGAACAACACGACTTAAAATTCGTTTTTCATCCGCGCGTCCCGCAGTGGGCGGAGCATATACCACACTGGACTGCAGTGGATCATAAATTGAGGCATTATAAAATTTGCGTTTAGCTCCAGGCCTCGTCTTAAGAATAGTTTTTGAATCAATTGCAATGTACGTAGTGCTCCGTCTTTATCATTAGGTTGGTCTGTGTGCCGTTGCCCCTACCGTTACCGTTATAGTCTTCTAAATTCCTCTGCTGAACATAGGCCTCCCCCATAGTGCGTTATAGTAGGGATATTTACCATAGTTGCTACGCTTAGCTAACGCAGCTTTTTATTTTTAGTCGTTATTAGGAAGACGCTGCTTTACATCTCCTGACTTGTTTCCCTCTGTCGCCTCTTACGACACTCACTCCCGGGGTGATATAGGGTAGTAGATTGTCTTACACCGCCACTACACGTTCACTACACTGTCTGTGTGTGCAATTAGGACCAAAAGATATCACTACGTTGAATGTTTGCTGTGCAGTGATCCCAGAGGAGGAAGAGAGCAGTGAAACGGAGCGCGTGCTGGAGCCGCCAATGGTGGTGCATTGCTCGGCGGGCGTGGGCCGCACCGGCGCGCTCGTGCTCGCCGAGACCGCGCTCGAGCTGCTCGCTCGTCGCCAGCCGCTCTACCCGCTCGACCTCGTGCGGGCCATGCGCGCGCAGCGCCCCATGTGCATACAGAACGCGGTGCGTACACACACACACACACACACACACACACACACACACACACACACACACACACACACACACACACACCACACACAGGCGCGCGCGCGCACACACACACACACGCAAACACACGCACACGCACACGCACACACACACACACACACACACACACACACACACACACACACACACACACACACACACACACACACACAATACATACACGCGCGCGCGCTACTCCTTAACACGTGTGCGTACAAAACGAACAGAACAAGAACATGCATTTAGCGTTTTAGCATACAAAAGGTGTTAACATACACGCACGCTAGCACTGATAAGCACATGAGTAAAAAAACCGTACGGAGACAAAGCTGTCAAAGGAGCTGTCAAATTTTTTACCTATTTTGGTAGGGTTGAGACAGGAAGATACAAACCAAACTTTATTATTGTTTTTTTTTTTTATTTTTTTTTTTTTTTTTTTTTATTTTTTTTTCACTTATTGTTTTTTTTTTTTCATCTTTTTTTTAGTTATTTTTTTTTTTATTTTTTTTTTTTTTTTTTTTTTTTTTTTTTTTTTTGTTAGCGTTTACTGGTCATTTCAAATCAAAATGATTTTTGTTTAACTAAGAGTTCTTATTTTAAATTATTTTTATTATAAAAACATGGAAATATTTTTCCAAAATTAGTCATTTGCTTATTGATTAGCGTTATGTTTTCATCAAATAAATATAAAATTAATTCATACGACTTTTTAACAATATTGTAATTCTATTTTATGATGATGTGCATTAAAGATTTTACTGAAAAAGTTAAACTTAGGTATATTATTTTGGGGTTACTAAAAGAATTAGTTGTCCCCGCTAATATTGTGTTTTTACTATATATTAAAACAGTTAATCGTTAATTCTTTATTAGATAGTATTGTTTTATTGAAAAACATTAAGATATATTCATTATAATAATAATTTTCAACCATCGATATAATCGATATTAATAAAACAGTTTCCCTTAGCAATGTTAGAAGTGAATATGAAATGGCATCTCTATCGACTAGCGTCTGTACATGCGTAAAAGCCAACTTCAGCTCGGCCAAGATAGAATGTGACTGTGGAGACTTAAAAAGGTTTAAAAGGAACTGCATCTCGCCTTAAGGGGAAATATAACCTCAAATGGCTTAGCAAGATCTCCGTTATGCCGAAAATATTGCAGTATTAATTTTGAAATAAATATATGGTAAAGTTGAGGATTAATGTTAAGGACTATGTTAGACGAAAACACGATTCCGTAAAATTTTCTCGATAGAAAAAAAATCTAAAGTTACCTCCAAAATAAACAATAAACCGCTGTTATTCATAAAATACTTTAAATAAGGTCATGAAACTTTGCATACTAACTGAAGTAACTATAAAGCAGTGTTTATGTTATTTACTTTTTTTAAATACCACTATTTTCACTGTAAAAAGAAATTAACTAAACTATCGGCATCTTGAAGCTTGATTCCTGCCGCCCGGTCAGTTTCGCTTCGGCCTTTGAAGAGTGAAGATGTGTCGCTTACGATCAGAATACACATTACGCAACAGGGCGACGTAAAGTTAAAATGGGAAATAACCGTAATAAAAATAAGAAGCGACTGGGTTGGCGTTAAGAAACAGGCATAAATATGATAAACCTAATGAAATAAGTATCTATCGACCTATCTACTTACAGTATTATTGATTACAAACATGTCGGTACATAGCATACGACGCGCGGGGAAGTGGGGGCGAAATTAGAATTTGAGCTGACTTGCTATATCCTCTTAATATTTTTCTACTTTAAAGTTAGACGAAGTCTCAGTCAACTTCTCTTTGTGCACGTATTAAAATTTTCTGACATTCTGTTTTATTTTTACAGAGCCAGTATAAATTTGTCTGCGAGAGTATTCAAACGGCCTACGCCCAGGGACTTATAAAGACGGAGACTGAATCCAACTGATAGTGCCTCATCTTGCCAATGGAAGACCAACTTCGATAGTGATACGATAGGTGATAAAAGCATATTTTTACCAGTAATATACGATAAATTATTTGAGAATAATCGAATGAATGAATGAATGTTATTTTTTAATTAATAATTTCATATAATACATCATATGAGTATCACGAATCCATTATACTATAAAGTTATAAGATACTTTTGGTGTCTTTTTGTAAGAAACCGGTGATGACCGCAAGAAACCGCTATGATGAAACAGTCACAGTTTACGTTTTTTTTGCTTACTTTAAAGTATTTGTCGAACAAGGTATAGAGGTTTCCAAAGACTTATTTTCAAGTATGTTTAAATAAATTATGAACACGTTTTAGGAAGTGTTATGTCATACGAAAGTAAATATGTAAATTTGTATATATTTTGTAAACGCATTTCGCTGTTTACCGGTTTACATATTTACAGTTTAACACTTTTGTAATAGAAGTACAAATAACAATCGTCGTTCTTTATGTCTTGACATCATCTGCCCTTCGTTTCTCTCCGTTCCATTTTAAAAACATAATCGGTAGAGATACTCATTTAGTACTCATTATTTGCTACATGTTTTCATATATTATTCAGAAATTCCCAATCAAAGTCTCGCCTTCGGATACACAATGTATTACACAATATGATGTTCAAGTATTAATATGTATAATACCTACTAAAATTATAAAAGTAATTCATTATGAATGTTGCCATAACAAGTTTTTTTTATATAGCTTTACTCCTAAGTGTAAATAATTACCAATTAGAATAAGTTTTACTCAAAGCCAAATATGAAAATAAGAATCTTATAATGTCAAATAAGAATTATTTACCATCTATTATTTTATTTTGTTTATTTAACTAAGCAGAAGGCTTTTATAATAGTTTTGAAAAGTTGCAGAATCGCAACGAGATGGAGATAACTGTTTTGTTAAGTGAGAATGAGTTAAACTTGTGCATGTCTGTTAAATCGTTCTCTTGTTTTCCTTATTTATATTAACATTTATATTTGTATATATAAGATGAATGCAATTTTATTGCTAGTAATATTATACTTTTTGTACGTTTGTCTTTTTTTTTCTTATTCACATAGAATAATTACGTCAAGCACACAGTCCAGTTAAAGATAAGTTTGTGCCCTTAGACGTCTGCATCTATCCTTGAGTAATAATAAAAATATAGACGCGTTGTCACCACAAAATGGAATGCCTCGTTTACAGTATAAAGGGACTTCCCTGATTTACAGTCACTATACGAAACACAACAGCATTATGCTGATATTTTACGCTGGTATTCTGTTAGAGCGTGGTCCTTTCCAGGTCAAGGCGACCATTCGAGCTTCATACATAATTATAGCAGCAGTGAGGCTAATGAGGATAATATTCAGTTTCTATGTAACGACATGCACATGTTACGTGTGAAATAACGATTTAATGCAATGGAATTTTTTATTATTGCTGTGTAAAGTTATTTAGATTTTCTTCGAATAAGTGATTTCCTTTTCAAACGAAAATAACATATCAAATATTGTTAAACATCTAGCCTCCTAAGGTATTTATTTTCAACATTAATTTATTACTAGATTTAGTGTTTTGTAATGTTCGCATTCTGTGATTTTCACCAGTTGATAGAGATCTATAGGTAGGCTAATCTTGCCTTTTGTAACGAATTTAATAATTTATAAAATTGAGAACTAATATAATTTTTCTGTATTTTTGTATGAATTTAAACTTATGTTTGTATTTTATTATCTGTGACGTTTACACAGATTATGTAAGCGTTTAGCTTTACTTAATTTTGTATGGATTAATTAAAAAAATACACGCCTTTGTATAATTTGTATTATATTATTTAAACATCATTAAACCTTGTTTTTAAGGCATTTACCTGGAACTATTTTCAACGTAAAGTGTAATTAATTCAATTGGGACCTAATTGTAATATATTAGACTTGAAAGTAAGTGCTAAGAATTTTATATGTCTAAGGATTTTGTAATATCTCTTAGTCTTATGTATTGTAATATAAATTTTAATTCAACACTAGGGGCTCCGACGCTAGCACATACGAAGTCTCTTACAATAATTAAAACTAGTATGTTAGTACGCTGGTAGTCAAAATTCGACCAATCACACAGCATACAGCTTATTCAAATTACAATAATTGTATTGATTTTAGTGTTTTGCAAGGAAAAATCATGTGTGTATTGTTCAATTCAATTTACCTGCCTTAACCGTAACATAAACACATGGTTTTTTTTTTCTTAACATCAATGGCGCAATACCAATCGAATGGTGTAAGTATGATCCTATATTATTTACGATGTTCAAGTGGTAATGTATACGTACGTGTATAAAGTCAGTGCGGCGAGAGTTGGTGAAAAAGCAGGATTCCTAAACTCATTACAAATTTCGGCCTGCTTATTATTTTTGCTGGTAAAATGTAGATAATATTTAAAAAGTCAGCCGCGCGTCGCGTCGTCGAGCGACCTCGCGCTTAATAACAGCTGCGAACCTCGTACAACAAAACTCTGTGCTTGCGACGAAGCCACGCTAGTCACACGGATTGCGGTATTTAAACGACTCTACTATTGTAAGACGTTTCATAATCTCAACTCTCGCCCAACAGATTATATGTTTGTATGCACTTATATTTTTGCATTTGACTATTAGTATATGTTGGAATGTATACTTTCAATATAAATATTATCCAAAGATGTGCCAGTAGTACTGCCATCTATGGAGGCTATGAGATCTATTTTTCGATATCTACAGAACGTTAATAGCTTATCTTACGACACCTTCAAACAATAAGTTTATTTACATGAATTTATCGATAATTTATCAAGCCATTATAAAATTAGGTGCATTATGTCATGAAATACAACGACTTCGTGACGCTGTTACATTTTACAGAATGTAAAAACGAGTGTTCTAGTGCTGACGTAGGATCAAAACAAGTTCTAAATTTATTGGGTCTTATGAACTTCCTAGTATTATAGATAAATTCTAGAAAAATATTAACTTGAATAACTAAGTAATTAATAACTAAGAAGTAACTGCATACCAGGCTGATAATCGTGTACGTAGTTTTGTGGACTTGAATGTAATGGTTATTATTTTACGTACGCAGTTTTATAAAACAAGTGACGACTGGCGCGTCGTATGAGCATTTCATTCAACGAAGTTTTCACTCTACTATTGTACATATGGCACGTCTAGTTTTGCTAGTCGCTCGACTTTTTCATGTTTATAAATATCATGATCAAACGTTTATATATGTCATTAATATTTTTTGTATCAAGTTATACAAATATAACTTCATACAAAAATATATTAATAAAATCAATTTTTGCGGCCAGCTATAAGCCTAGGACAATAATGAAGGGAACGCTAGTTTGACAAATTCATCCAAAGAACATTAACATAAAGTACATAACATTTAACTGTTACATTCAATTTTAATATTCATAATCATAACACAAAAGTGTTATAAAACAATCAACGCTCTATACATGAAAAAAAGTGACGTAAAACGACGTACGAAGTACGGAGACTAGTGACGCGTACCCACCAAAACTATGTGCATTGCATGAGACGCAAATTCGTGAATAGCCCAGACGCGTCATGATCTATTCTAACCGATTTTGCGGACGTACGACGACATACCTTAAAGCAAAAGGAGATATTTTGTAAGCCTCTGGAGACATTGGCTAACTTCTGACGTAACAATTTTTAAAGTTTTCAATTAGATTATAGGGAAAGGAATGCTTTCATTGAATGTTTATAAAGTTTACTTACGTTGATTTCTTTATGTATGTTTTTATTTATATGAAATATTTTACCGTTTTAGATTTTTATTGATAGAATATTTTCTTAATCGGCAAAACTCTAATCATGCTTCATATTACAAAGGATATAAAACATCAGGAAGACATTGATGCAATTAGGTCTGAAAAATATTTGTGGAACATTACAAAAAAATTGATATATTTAAATAAAACAATGTTTCTTGTGCAATTAATACGTAGATAATTTGTATATAGTCCTTCCAAAAATCTAAAAGTATGTAATGTTTTAGTATTCTCTTATAATAGTGTTTTTGTTGATTTAACAGCGTATATAGCACATATTAACACATTTTATTATTAACGTGTATAATTTATGTATGATACAAGAGAAAATCTTAGTGACGGGGTATTGTTTTTATTAAAAAAAATCTTTAACCCGTGACGTAACCGAAGAGCTTCATAATTTTAAATTTAAAAATAAAGTCGAGATTTTTCTTGTTTATGGAACTGAATTTAAATGAGTTTTTTTTTCAAGCTAATATTGCGTTAGTTATATTTGATTATAACAAGCTGGTGTTTGTTGCTAAATCTCAATTATAACACATATAAATAAAAGTCTTGTGTAAACAAAGGGCACTTAGAGATGCGTGGACGACTGAATAGCGTATTAGTGTTTTGACTGTTAGTTTGTTTGAATAGTGTTCGAATTGGCGAGTGTTCAGCCGTGGGTTTCTATACTCAGTTTATTTTCTTTGTAATTTTATTTGGACTCTACTCAAAAAAAAAATCGTAATCTCGTAAATTATTTGTTAGACGTTCGTTTTGCTGTTTTTTTTTAAATAAAATAAAGCTGTGGGTAATTCATATTTCAGCCAGAAGGAAAATATATTTTGTTACGAGTTATGAAACACACGTCTAAACCCTTCCAAATTTGTGTGATAGTATTTTTTTACTACGTGATGATGTTTTACAGTGATGTGCTGTATGTATAATGTTCATGGAGAAATAAAACTATTGAACCATAGTGTGTTTTTATTATATAATAAATAATAAATCATGACGTTTTCGTTTAGTTCTGTAGTGACGACAACAGGATAAACAGTACTGCTAGAGGTAACTCTTAGTAAAGAGTATTTTTGATGCAAGGGTGACAAATGAGCCACAGCCTATCAGGCAGTAAGTTCTCTGGC